ACAAACATTTAAATATTCAAAGGATAATCTTTATATTACTTTTGGTATCTCTTTCTTTACTTCTATGGAATGATATTCATTTAAATACATTCCATATTAATCCTTTTAATTCCTTGGAAAATAAATTTATTTTTTTTTGAGTAAAGAGTCTGTTATTAAATGAAGTAAAAAATCCTATTTGTTTTGTTTGGAACGGTTAAAAGATGAATGGTTTCTGTTTTTCTTCAAATTGTTTTATTCAAAGCTTAAAACAAAATAACTCCATTGAGACACACAAAACACATTCGATTTTATCATGAATAATTTCTCATAGTTTATGTTATTAAACATTAGTTTATGTAATTTAAGAAGTATTTTTAATCTTTTTTTGAATCAAAATTTAGTAAGTCAAATTTAAAATTTGTGACACTTAGAGAAGTGTTTGAAAGAGGTTATATTGCAATTTCATTTGGGTACAATGTTGTGGACAATAATTATATAGAAGAAGGCGGTTAATTTTTGAAAAAAAAAAATAGATATTTTTACTTCAGTAGTTTGATGTTTTATATAACGCATAACTAATTCTCACAAGAAAAATGATAATAATAATAACAAAAACTATTACATTTAATTTATCTTCAGTTTATGAATAATCAGTAGGTAATATTTTTTTTTCAAATTCAAAAGAATTGAATAACAGAAAAAAAATAAAAAATAAAATAAAAAAAGAAGTAGTTGTGGATAAAAGACTTTTCTTTATTGTAACAAAAAGAATAAGAAAAAAGCAAAGATATACTAAAAAAAGAAGTATTTCAAAAAAAAAAATAAAATAAAATAAAATAAAAAAGAAAAAAGATACAAACAATTAAAATAGTAAAATGATAATAACAAATACTAAAAAGAACTAAAAAACTAACACTCAAAGTACAATCAATTTAAACACTATGAACGGTAATTCAAATCAACCAATGAACGCATCACCTCAATCAATAGACAATCAATACCAACAACAATATCAACAATATCCTCAATATCAAAATCAACAATTATTTCAACAACTTCCTAATCCAATGTCAACTCAACAAAATGGACAATTTTATGAACAACAACCATCTGCTATTAATCCACAACAAGCTCCACAACAAATTGATATGGTTTATATTAAAAATCTTATTGAACAATACTTACAATATTATTATACTTATCAACAAATCATTTTCGAATTAGAAAAAAAAGGTATTTCAAAAGATGCTACAACTGTTGTACTACAAGCTCTTATTTCTCAAAATAAAGATTACTTTACAGCTTATGAAATTCGTGTGAATTTAAATGGTTTGTTTGGTTTCCTTAAAATATAGTAATTTTATAGTAAATTTTATTAATAAGTATAGATCAAATCGATAGATTCAATAAATTCATTAGAAGGTATTTCCAAGTCTCAGCTCAACAACAGGTCATCCAACAACAACCCCAACAACAAATTTTAACTCAACCTCAACCCCCACAAGTCTTACAACAAGGACAACAACAAGTCCAACAACCTGGACTACAACTTGGTTCTTCTGATATGTCAGGAGAATTTGCTAATAGTTTTATTTCATCTTTCCAAGGAGATCAATCAATGGGGATGTAATTGAAAGTTTTTTAACACAGCCTCATTCTATTGTTGTGTTCTCAATAGTTTTAACTCATAATATCCTTTAGTTGGTAATTAAGATGATTCAATTATTAAAAGAGTTATGACTAAATCAAAAATACACAACTTCTTATTGTTAATTATTTTATTAACTAATATCATTGAATATTATGAAGAAAAGAATTTATATTGTTTTTTTTTAAATTAATAATAATTTTTGGTTTCAGAAAAATTATTGTTTAGTAGTTTTTAACAAAAACAGCTCTTAAATGTTTCTTTGATAAAAATTAAGACAATCATTTAATATTTTATTTAATAAACATTATAGTATATAAGAATATTGTTAGTTGTTTTGGTAATATTTATTGTTTTATTTATTTTTACTTAACTGTTTAATTATTGAAATGTATTATATCTAATTCTTTCAAATTATATTTTATATTAACTTATACTATCATTTAAATTATTATTTGTTTATACTTTTTTCATATTTTGTTCATTTTATTTAATATCTGATGTTAATTGCTAAATTTTTTTTGGTTTTAATAATAATGATGTTAATATAATTACCAACATTTATATTTTATATTAGCTATGTTTGTTTACTTCTTACTGCTTTATTTATTTTAATTTTATTAATTATTTTCTATTATATTTTATAATTCCAAATAATTAAATTATATCTCTTTCATATATATTGATAAACTCTCATTACAATATGTTATTAACTATTTATAGATTTTAATAAATACCTTTATATTAATACCATAATTCTTTATTTGTAATTATTTTATTCATTTTTATCATGTTTTAATAATATTAACTATACTCTGAATTTGATTATATTAGACTATAAAATACTTTAAGCTAAATGAATTTATATATTTCACAATAAATAAAATCCTACTATTAGCTTATTTCTAAATTTCTTTTTAACAGAATGTAAAGTACTTAAAAAAATAATAACCATTTTGATATTTTTTAATAATAATCTTATTTTATTCTTTGTTCTTTTATAATCTTATTATATAAAGTAATTATTAACTTATCAATGTCTTAATGTTATAAGTAAAAATTAATTTCAATATAGTTTTTTACTCTAATGAAAAAAGTATCAAACAACCACTGTTAATAAAAAAAATAATAACAATAAGTATATATAATAATATGACAAGATTCTCATAACATAAAAATGATACTTTTTAATTGTATTAATTAACCATGAAATGGATGAAGAATTAAGATATATTCATAGTAAAAAAGATTTTATTGAATTAAATATCGAATGGAGTAATGGAATTATTGTTTGTCCATTAAAGAAAGTAGAGTTTAGTCCAGGTCATCAATTTGTAGCTCTCAAATGTGGATGTGTTATTTCTAAATTAGCTCTTGATGAAATCAAATCAATTAATGGAAATAAATGCCCATTGTGTGAAACAGAAGGATTGGAATTTATTCCATTAAATCTTCCACTAGAAGAGATGGAGAAACAAATGGAACTTCATTGTAAACTCTTTGATCAAAAACAAAATAAAACAAAGTTTATTCAAAAAGAAGAAAATAAAATTGCTCTAGTAACTCAACCAATTGCAAACACAATTGCTGATCAAGCAAAAGTTAATGTAAATAAACAAGATGATGATGAGATATATAAGTCTTTATTTAAATCATCACAAAATTAATTAAATATAATAAATTTACTATTGAATTATAATTTTTATTTTGTATCTTTGTTTTTACATTCTATGTTTCCAGAAACAATTAATCCAATTGGATATTTTATTGGTCTAATTATTTTATTTATTTTAATTCTCATACCCCTTTATCGTTCATACAAGTCTTCATCACATTCATTCAATGAACAAACAATGAACATATTCTTTAATTTAAT